CCAGCATTGAAAATGACTTTTCAAATGGCTTTGCAGGCCATGGAATTTCTTGCTTCTATCAGCTTAATTACCTAATGAAACAGACTGGAAATTGTTTGGGGACAACAGAGCGCTTTGAAGCTCTGAAATGCTGTATGTGATGCATTTTAATGCTGCGCAGAAATCTGGATTTCGAAGGGCTCCTGAATGCAATGCAACAGTATCTGGGGGGGAAAAAAAAATCTGGTTTTGTTGTCCTTTTCTTAGCTGGAATCTGGAAATGCTCCTAAATGGTGGATACTAAAAATGCTTTGAAAACCAAAAACTGAGGTTTTCTTCTCTGCAGCTTTGGACTGTCACTTTGTCCTGAGTCCGTGTGTTAGACCAGCCTGTGAACGAGCAGCACTGTTGTAAGTTTGGTCCAAGATTGCGCTAACCTGTGCAGGCAGACAGTGCATCCTTTTGTGTCTCTCAAAACTGAGCTGCACTGTGATCTTACTGTCCTAATGACTGGAGACTAATTTCCTTTGGGCGTGTGGGGGAAATTGGGGAAGGTGCTGGAGAGAGACCAGGATGCAGGTGACTGTCCCAGCTGCTTCATAAGGGTGTGGGCGAGTGTGAACTGATGTGAAAGCCTCTTGCCTTAAGCCCTGGGTAAGGTCATCAAGGCTAGGTTAAAAGCAGTATTTGTGCAGGATGAGAAGGTTTTAAATGTGACAGGAAAGGATAATTAGAGCAACACTGAAGTAAAACGAAGTTTGCAGTGAGAGGGGGAACTTTTTTTTATGTTGTTTAGGTTAAAAGCAGTATTTGTGCAGGGTGAGAAGGTTTTAAATGTGATAGGAAAGGATAATTAGGGCAACACTAAAGTAAAACGAAGTTTGCGGTGAGAGGGGGAACTTTTTTTTAATGTTGTCTCATCTTTGCAACAATTGGCACTGCTTTGCATACAAGATTTTTCAAGTGGGTGGAATTTTGAGTCTACATCGTTTAGTGTTGGACTTGGCAGTGTTGGGTTTGTGGTTGGACTCAGTGATCTTAAAGGTCTTCTCCAATCTAAACAATCCTATGATTCTATGATTTTTCAGCTTGCTCATAAAAGCTTTCTTTCTTTAGTGGGGCACACAAGTGGGATGTTTGTGAATGCTCTTTATAGTGTTTACATGATCCCTTGATCTTAAAGTAGCGTTACCAAAGTAGTTCTTACCTCCTTCTGCTTAACAGAAACAGAAGATTAAAACAAGATGGTTTAGTCATGTATAGAAAAGAAAGATTCCCATTGATATCGGGTCAGATGTTTCATTTTTCAGCCTATAAGAAGTTGCACCTACTAAAACAGAGTGGTGTTTAGAGAATGATTTATAGCGCATAAACGTAGCAGGAACTGGTTTTGCCATTAGGGGTGGATTAGTGTAACAGTAGTTTCCTGTGACATCACACTAAATTCCAGCTTCCCAGTTATTTTCCAGACGAGGTTGTCTGTAGTGCTCTTGCACAAAATTACACTTAAAAGGGCACTCATAGTTCCCTTGGGACTTATAAACCAAACCTTTTGTCAAATCCTTAGTAAACACAGAATTCTTTGTTTTCATTCTGGGCAATGGTAACAGTATGGGCAGGGCTGTAATTTGTGATTCTAGAGTAAACAAATCAAAATTGCGTTATGCAGGGCAAGAGGGATGGAATTCTGCAATGCAAGCTTCCTGTCATGACAGGATAGATAGCACAATGGTTCTCAAATGTGTTTTTCTAGAGAATTGTTAGAATGGTGACATAAAGATAAGGGTGTACAGCTTGCAGTACCCTACCTGAAATGCCACTCCTCCCTGTCCAGCGGAGCTTTTTGAATGCATGGGTAGCCACAGAACAGGAGATGATGCTGGTTGAGAAGCTGGCTTAAGGGAGTAAAGATTCATTTTTGTGTGGGATCTTAATGTATAGAGGTACATGACTTTCCTAGAGTAAACCTGGATTGATTACTGCTGTTAGGCTACCATTTAAAAACAAAAAAACCCTAACTGCTTGGACAAGCTTTTTAGGTAATGTCATGAAGGCTGCATTAGAAATTACCATGCCTAGTCACACAATTCAGAGGGTCTTTCCCAGACTTCAGAAGCCATAATTAATATGGAGTCAAACATTTCTGGAAATTGCTGTATTTGAATGCATATTAATATATATTTAATGAAGAATACATGGTCGTATCATTGACTCTTCAATATATCTTGTAGCAGAAAAATCAAATCTTGGAGTTTTACCAGTTTGTCGGACCCTAAGAACATCAAATGGCTATTCTCTGCCAATTTCACACAGAATGGTTGGGGTTGGAAGGGACCTTTGGAGATCATCTAGTCCAACCCTGCTGCCAAGGCAGGTTCACCTAGAGCAAATTGCACAGGGACGCATCCGGAGGGGTTTTGAGTATCTCCAGAGCAGGAGACTCCACCACCTCTCTGGGCAGCCTGTTCCAGAGCTCTGGCACCCTCAAAGTGAAGAAACCAAAAACAAACTAGCTTGCTTTGCTGACAATAACTCACTTTGATCGCAAACAATTTGTAATGAAAATGCTTTTCTCCTTGCTAATCCAATGCTACAATAATTACAAGCAGCAAATCAATAGCTGGAAGTATAGAATTGGAAGTGTTACATAGGATATTAAGCCACAAATTGATCTCCCTGCCAGACCTTAAGTAAGTGCTGTATCAACACATATTTCAAGGATTGAAGGACATTCTGAAATGTAATAGTGATGGACAGAAGAAAGGAGAACAATAATGTGTCTTATGCAACTGTATTAACTCTTTACCGCCTGAATCTACACAATCGTGCTGTTCGTATGATTTGCACTCGCACGTTACAACAGTGATTTCTGACTATTGCTCCACTTGGCTCAGATAAGGTATGGGATTGTGTCTGGACAACTGACAGAGTATTCCAGCAGATATTATATGGCAGATATTCTAATCCAAGTCAGTTATTCACCAAAATCATTATTTCTTAGGAAAATAAAGACACCAGAAGACCTTCATGTCGCGTAAGATTCTTGAATTTCCTTGGACAACTGTTGCAACTCATTGTACTGAGTAAATCATACTGATCTGTTCTAAAAAAGGAGAGGAAAAAAAAAAATCTGAGAAATTCTAGAATTCTTTGGCAAAAGAAACAGAGAATAGAAATTTATGGCTTGTAGTTGTTCTTCCAGAAACTAAGCTCCAGAGTGTTTCTGATATCACTTTTCCCTCTTAATGGGCAGAAGTATCAAAGTTGGCCATATACTACTGTGGGCACACAGGGGTTTTAGAAGCTTCCAATGTCACTGCTCAATTCTCTGTATGGTATTTCTTTTATAAGCCATTAAGAAAGATTGAAAGAAGTAATGTGTCTCCGAAGAATTATTTCTTGAGTGTGTTTTTTGAGCGTTGGATGTTGTTGTGGCTCAGATGTAGCACATTTGAGAAGTCGGCTTCATCCCTAGGAATGCTTGCCAGGTATGTGCAGTGATCTGGGAAAAACAGATTTTGTTTTCTGCCAGTTGCCTCTTCCCTGATAAGTGTATATGGAAGGAGCACTTAGGAGCGTGAGGTTTTGGTTCCTCTCTTTCTAATGCCAGGAGATCCTGCAGGGAGAGGTTTGGTGGACTGTTAATTTTTGTTGTTCTTCAGATAAGGGCTGCTATTTTTTCTGACACTACTGAATGTTTTGGATTTCTTTTTGCTAGTGCGGAGTTGAAGACTTTTGACTGGACACGAGTAGTCAGAGCAAGAAGTCTCTTTGGTGTAAACCTCTCTTGCCTCCTAACCGGTCAGTCTGCTCGAGTAGAGATGACTGGCTGAGCAGTCACAACATCTATTTTTCCTAAGAGAAATCACTCCTGTGTTTACTGTTTATTAGTATGAGGAGAAAGGAAGGTGGTAATTCTCAGGTCTTGGCCACCACTGAAGCCTTGTCAGCCGGTTATGATTAGCTTGATTATTTAATTACTTTTCCAGCACTAAGAAGAAGTGTTGCTTCACAGTGGAGAACAGAGGAAAACTGCAGGTGTCCCTTCAGCAGAGCGCGAAGGCTTTTCTCTAGTCTAGCCTTTTGTTGTTACAGCAATGTTTCCAGCTGTGATGATACCTCCTTGCTGCCAAGTAGTAGTAAATAGCTGTATAAATCATAGCAATGCTTGTACCATTCAGGTACAGTGGGTTGTTTCCTGACTCTAACAGGTGTACGTATGTTTATCCTCATATTTCAACATTAATTGTTAAGCTACTCCTATTCAGAACTGTTTAGAAATTGAATAATGGACACTTTTGATGTGCTTCATCTTCAAACTTTGGATTTCATTCCTCACTTGATGCATACACAGTTTTGTTTAAATTGTATTTTAATTTTATTTTCTCCAAGGCTCTCTTCAGAACTAGAAATCAGTAGCCATGGCCAGCGTGACCTGAAGGACAGTCAGTAACCGTGCATGTACGTTTAATTTAGGACAGCAAATACAGACCGTGGCTACCTACAGGCAGAGCTCAAAACGCTGGTTAGGAGTGGTGACGTGTCTTGGTGCTGGCACTTGCAGCCTGGAGCCTGGCAGAGTTTTTCTGAGTGCTGTTCACCTCTCTCAAGAGGGGATGGGTAGGTAGGAGACCCACGTGGATGGGAAGTTCGTTGCCAGGAGAAGTGAGAAGACTGGAAAGAACGAGTGTCCTAAGTTGTTTGCTCTTGACTACCCTCTTTGTACAGAGCTATAGGTGTGTCTGGCTCTTCGTATACCTGCAGGCGACAGTCTGCTGTAAAAGCTTGCTCTCAAAGCCAAATGAGATGTGGGATTAGGATAGCTTTTGAGGTTGAGGAAAAGGAAGAATATATGTTACATGATGCATTGCTTTGGGTTCTTTCTGATTAGGGAAACCTGTATATCCACAGGTACTTGCTGACTTGCAGTGGGAATCAAAATAGATTTTGCTAAAGGTAAAATAATAAATAAGGGAAGAAAATCAGACCTCTTGTTACCCTTTTGTTCAAAGCGTATTGAGATGGACCTGAAGTGGAATCCTGGCAGACTTTCTCATCCAGCCTCAGCTGCAGTCCAGGTGACAGATTTGAGTTGGCGAGGCAACCTAAATCCCAGTCCCCTGATTAAAGATGACGGAGAACTACTTCTGGATGAATACCTTTCCCCCAGGAAACTGGTGAGTAGACATCCAACTTTTTAATGAAGTAGAAGAGGCAAACTGGCATATACAAAGCAGTATTAACCTTCCAGCTGCTCCTGTTGACTGCAGATTGTTGCATCTCTGACAGACTTCTGCATAAAGTAGATCATGTCTTATGGAAATTATAAAGTGTTTGTCCTCCTTTCACCTTGTTTCATATCAGAAATATTCCCAACATGAACGCTGCTGTCTTTATTGCCAGGTTTCTTGAAGCACCATGAACAAAATTGCAGGTAGCATAATTATAATTCAAACAGCTCTCATTAATGCCATCTGAAGTACCTTTAGTCTCGGCATTAGAAAAAGCTTTTCACATTCTAGAGATTGGAAATATAACTTTAAAACACAACTTTATTTCTGAGTTAGTGAAATCTTCTGTCTTGCTAAGAAGGCAATTAAAATATTCTGCAAGTGCTGTAAGTACTTTCTGCATATATCAAAGTGTGTGAAATTTTAAAGCGCATTTGAAAGCCATGTTCCTTTTTGACTGGGGAAAAGATGTTGGCGTGCAGCAAGGCTGTGTTCCTTTTTGACTGGGGAAAATGATTTTGGCCTGCAGCCTGTTGAGAGAGAGTAACATGCTGAAATGTCTTGTGAAGGAATAGTTGGTTGCATATTGTGCTGTATCTGCTCAGGACTAATTAAGGGTGAAATCCTTTGGGACATGTAGGAGCTGAGAAAATAACCTCACTTATCCCTGCTAAAGGAAGGGAGAGCTGAGAGCAGAAGTTAAAGGGAGGAGCTGCAGATTTCTGTGTTGCAGGGCTGGATAGAAATTAGTGAAAGATAGATGGGAGCAAGGCTGTGGTTCGGATGCTCCCAACAGGCAGGGTGGTGATCACAGTGTCCATAATCCTCTGTACATCCACTGCACTGGTGGAGAGACGCTAACTTCTGCAGGAGGCATGTTCCAGCTGCGGGTTTACGCCACTCCACAACTATGTACAAGTCACAGTTTTGGCCGTGCACTGTAGATTGGACGACAGGTTGTTCTCAGAACTACTCTTCCCTTAGTAGAGAAGTCTTGTAATGTTTATAAAATGTTTGGGGATGCAAAGATCACTTTCCACAGAGTGTGTATTTTAAGCTTTCTGGAGAAAAATTGATATATGATCTTATGATCTATGCCACTCACTTTCCTTTTGGCTCTTGCGAACCTCTGACCTTGATCTTTTTTAATCTGACATAGATTTTACCCGGTTTAATGTGTTTGTGGCCTACAGTACCCTGTATAAATCCAATGGGAAGCTCTCAGATTAGTCTGTTTTCTTAGGGCATAAACCAAAACCCATTAGAGGAACCAAAACAGCTGCCCTCTGACTTCAATAAAGTCTGAATTAAACCCTTAGGAAGTTCTTTTGTTGGCATGAAATTCTTCCTTCTGAAGCTCTGCTGTTTTTAGTCCACGGTAAATTGTAAGCACAAAAGTGTATGTAAGGCTCTCAGGGATGTTACCCACATTCCATGAAGTTGCTGTTCATTATTTTGTAATATTTTTATATACAAACCAGAAGATAAATTCTCCCACAACTCTAGGCTATTTTTTTAAATGTGAAAAAAACCCCCCACTTATTATTGATATATACCATCTTGAACTCAATTGAGTCTTGCCTCTTTTAGATTGTATATATTAGCATTTCTAAGGAATTCCATTTAAAAGACTTTTTTAAATGGATGAATACTGCCCTACTAATTTTTCTGGACGCATTTATTTCCTGGCCCTGGAACCCAACATTTGTGTTGGCATAGCTGGGATACTTCCTGCTCAGAGGAAAAATTATATGACATTGTCAAGGAAACATTAACAATGTTTATGGCTTGTTTTAACAACATAACCAATATATCTATTCTTTGACCTTTTTGTTGTTCAAATGGAAACTGCTGCTTCCATAAATTTACTTCCTCTGGATTTGCAAATGTAAAAATAGAGACACTGTTCGAACGTTTAATCTAAAACAAGTTTTCACTCGTGTTTTGGTTTTTTTTAAGGAAACACCTGCCATTGATAACTAAATGGTTTGAAAGGCTGTTTTGCTTAAATCAATTCACTCGCGATATCTTCTTGATTCTCTTTTGGTTGTGAATATTTTAGGAGTTATTGATTATATTTGCTGAAGTGCTCTGAGAAGGAAATGAATAATTTTTAAAATACATGCTCATTAAAGTGAAATTGTTTTACATTCAAAAAGGATGTAGGCTCCAGTACTGCAGTGTTGTGTAGGCAGATTTCTGGACACCTGGTCGAGCTTCCTGAGGAAGGATTTTGTTCCAAGATACACACTCAGCTTTACTCCTTGCCCTTGCAGTGTTCTACCTTGCATCGGTTCGGTTTGAGCTCGGGGAGGTTGGAAGGCCTAGCTCTGCAGAATCTGTGAAGATTGGGTGCTTTGGGTTGCAGCCTCGTCTCTACCTGCACATTTTACTCATTTTGCCCTTTTTTTCCAAGGGGGAAAGCAGTCTAATTAGTAGTGGAAACATTCGCAGTCTCCATCAGCAGCCCTCATTATTAAGGACTCTCTAAAAGGTGTGATACTTGTATTCCTTCTCTTTTTTTTTCCAGGTGTTGGGGTGTTTTCCTCCAAAGAGAGGAAAGTTTGGCTTAAAGGGATTCTTCTTTTATTGGGGTGTTTGTTTTTTCCTCTCCTGTTTGCCTTCTTGGACCCTGGAGTACCTAGACAACTTCTACAAAAACGTTTAGTCCCTTGCTCGTTCTCCTCCTCTCCATAGCGGATCCCCACCTCACTGACATGATGCTTGCTCGCTACAGGGTTGGTGGTCTTCCATGGCTTTGTTTTGGCACAATGCTCACTTTAAAATCCTGTGTGTTTCCATACCTCCGTTATGTTAATCACATCTTCTGTGGTTTCTGCTTGTCACCATCTCTCTTCCTGCAGCCATATAATGCCATTTTATGTCTGAATACTCTTCACCCAAGCTACAGGTCAAAAGCTTTTGATGCCAGGGGTGGTATCATTAGATTTCTTGTTATTCTTTCTGCTAGTATCAACATCAATTTTCTGTTGCACTGTTTAACCTTCATCTGTAGGACCAGGTGTTCTTGCTTTTCCATTTGTACCTGTACTAATCTTTGCAGCTTCCTGCTCTGCCTGTACTAGCGGTGTTGTCAGAGATTGTAGAATACCAGAGTGAGCAAATGCCCCGTTCTCCTTTTGTTCTGAAAACTGGCTATTACTGGGCAATACATTACAATTAATCTTTAATTTCATTAGGGCTGTGGCACAGATTTCTCATTGTGTGGAGGAACTGGAATTAAGGGCTCCACCTGTCCTGAACCAGATTTTATTTTGTTCTATTAACCCCCATTCCCTCCCCACCGTTTGCAAAGAATATTTTACTGACTTCCACAAAAAGCAGTCCACTTCTCAGAATAAAGTAATTTTACAAGGTCAAATGATCCTCCAGATGTTGTCACGTTATCAAAACTAATCACATTTGTGCATGACCTTTAGGGAAGAAAGGAAGTATTCTTGTTTCGCTATTTATTGATCCTGCTCCAATTAATCATGTTTTCTAAACTTAGGAACATGTGTTCGGAAGTGGTGGTTAGTTTTGTTGCTCAGGAGGTTAGGGTGTATTTCATATGGTATGCACTCATCCCCATGGGGAGAAGAAAATCCTGGAGGGTCCTGGAACAACACATTGGATTCCTGCTAGAATGAGTCAATCGTTTCCTTTTTTTCCTTGTCAGAAAGTTTTCCTCTCGGTTGTAAGCTAAATGGATTTGAGGAGGAAAAAAAGTGGGGATCAAGGAACAAGTGGAAAATCTTGATAAATTAAGTGGAATCAAGGAGATGGAAGTAACTGACTGAACTTGCATCTGCTGAATCCTTCATTGGAATTGTATAATCAATTAAAAAGTAATGATTTAAAAAAAAAAAGGGTTTGAAGGGACCTCTGGAGGGCATCCAGTTCAACCTCCTGCTCAAAGCACAGCTTGTTTCAAACTTAGATCAGATGGCTCAAGGTAGCAGATAGCAGCAAATGTAACACTGCAGACAGGAAACAAACGGGAACGCCTCATTTAGTGTCAGAGCTTTCCTTTCATATGTTCTTACCCTAACACTGTTGTCTTCACCACAGTGAAGGCTTGTTGTTGTATTAGCGTTCATCCTGCCGCGTAGGCATCTGATGTTTTACATGCACGTCGTCACATCAGGAACCTTTATATTTATATGCATGCACACACATATGCCTGCCTTTATGTGAAAAAACCCCCACGGATTTCAATTTGCCCACAGTCACAGCTGCTTAGCTGACATAAAATGGCAGTTTTGCATGTTCAGTGACACAGCATTGAGCAATGATTGTAACTCCTTATTATGCACCTAATTGCCAGATAGGAAAGATAATTAATATTGGAGTATGACTTTTTTTATATCTATGTGAGGGAAAGTAAATCTGTAAAACAAATCTAAAGCAGAAATTGATTTATATTGATTTTATATTTACTATCCTGTCCACTCCTGACCCACATGTTAATTCAGCGCATAGTTAAACCTGAGCTTGTTTCCTCCTAGAGAAATTATACAGGCTGTTTCTGTGAGATCAGCAAACCTCCCATATAGTTTCTGGTGCCCCACGGGCCTTTTGAATTTGTGATAGTTAGATCTCCCAGCGACTTGCGGCATCAGACCCTTAATTCTGATTTTTAAAGAGAAAGTGTCGGTGCTGTGAATCCCCAGCACGGGTCAGTGGGGAGCTGAACTGGAGGTGGCAAGACTCAGTAGGGGTTGATCCATGTAGATCCATTGGTGTGACTCAGAGGCTTCAGCACGAGAATGAAGATGTTTTGCTAATGCATCCACCACCACTTAAGTTTCATAATTACTGTCCTCATCTACACTTTTCATACAAGTCAAGAAGGTCTCTTTCTCACACCCTGAATGCCTAGCTAATTGTTTCCTCTGAGCTGAGAGAAGAATGTGTTTGTATGCCTATGCAGCAAGCGGTGAAATACAGCTAAATATTGTAATTATGGGCATCTGCGTCATGTAGCCATTTTGAAAGGAAGATTGCATATAAGACCACAGGGAAGTTCTGTCCCCTCTCACTGGAATTCCCTTGACTTAGAATCACTTAAAACCTTGTCAACATTCTAGTTTTCTTCTTAGTAGAAATGTTTTGTCATACTTGTAGCAACATTGGTTTGGGGTTTTTTTTCGTCCTCGAAGAAATTATACTTGCGGAGATTTCAAATTCCCAACTCAAAAGTGATGAACACATGAATGGACATGAATCTAGCATTTGCGTACAGGTGTAGTATTAAAAGAAGATAAGCTCACTGCTCAAGAATTCCTGTCTTAGCCAAATTAACCAGGATCAGCAAAATAAACGCACAGCTGGAAATGCTTCTCTGACAGCTGCACGCAACATGCTCTTCAGCAACATATCTGCTTTTCTTAGTGTGTGTGAAAAATCTAGGAAAGAGAGAGGAAATCAGTTGTATACACCAGCTTTAATTGAACAGGTATTACTTGGCAATTAAGGAGTTTACAGGGTTGCAAGTGAGGCTTGAACTGGATTTCCCAGCATCCCCAGGTGACTCTTTTGCCAGTTGGGAAGCTCTGCAAGCACAGAAGTATTTTTCACTTGCAATTTTTTACAGAATACTTATTGGCTCTTCTTGTCAGTCAGAGGAAAAGCTTTCCAAACTAGTTCATATTCTCCAGTTAGATACCTGGCAGATATTTTGCATGATGGGAATGATTTGTGAGCTATCCTAGAGTTGCTTCTTAAAATACTGGCCAAATTATTTACTGATAACTTCTGCATGGTCTCATGGAAAATAATTTTGTTCCTATTTTGAAGGAGGTTCAAAAATGTAAAGCAAACTTTGTCTGTCTTTGCTTTGCTTATCATTTATTCAATTGCGCAGTGCTTTACCTAAAGCAAACTTTGTCTGTCTTTGCTTATCATTTATTCAATTGCACAGTGCTTTACTGTGGAAATTTATCCTTTCAAATAAACACGTTTAGGGTGGAGTATAATGCTTGCTGCCTAGAATCAAGCTGTCAGGCTGCCTTTTTGAACATCATGTGCTAGAAAGATTTTGATGTTTGATTCTTTAGCACACGTTCTCTTTCTCTATCTGATACCTTGAAAAAACTAACTATAATTCCAGGCTGATTGTTGGTGTCCAGAAACAGTTCCACTTGCCACCCATCTACTGACCAACGAAGTAGGTATCTTCTTGATGTAAAATTACTCTGAGCATATCCAATTCCTTGCCTAGAACAGGTACTTGGTCCCTTCTGGTCTGCTCTACATTGAGGCTGAGCAGCTGTAAACAGGCAAAGAAATCCCTTGATGGCACAGCACCTTCACTTCCGTGAGCGTTTCTGGGGCATGGGCAGAGAGACCTTCTGTCCCTGGCTGTCAAAACAGCCCTTTGAGCTGTGGGCAGGCAGCCATTACCTGGACCCTCAGTGGGACACCTTTGAATTAGGGCAGGAGCCTCTCCCAGACGCTGGAAATGAAGAGATGCAGAGTGCCTTAGCATCACTTCTACCCGTCTGGTGCCAGACATCTCTCTGTCCTAGCTGATGATCCTTTCAATGTGCCATGATTTTATTTTTTTTTTTCTTTTGCTATCTCAGAGCAGCAAAATTCTTCCTAAATATCCCTCCTTTCAAATTTTTGATGAAGGTTCTCATGTTTGACATTAAACGACAACATAAAAGGGACATCCCGCTAAATATGTGTCATCTTTATTTTAAATGTTTCCATGTGCTTCCCTAAATCTCCCCCATTCCTGGTGCCAGAATTTTAGCTGTGACACATGAGATGTATCACGCTTCCAGCTGCACCAGTATGCCAAGAAAGGTGTCTGGGGAGTAGGAGTGTCCTAACTATCTTCCACAGGAACCGTTCAGCATGTAAACTTCTCTTGAACTGCCGCCCTGGCCTTTTGCTTGCGAAATAGTTTGCTTTCACACCTGGGGTCTCTAGTGCTTCTAGTGCATTTAAATGAGCTCATATCCTCAACCCAGGAGCGTTTCTCGTTTCCTTCATATAGTATGATAGCTTTTGAATCCCATGGCAAATCGGTTCCAAACTCTCCAAGCATCTCCTCGGCATCAGCAGACGGACAGACAGTGATTTTTCACAGGGAGTCTTGGAAAAGCAGAACAGGAAAGTGGGGACCAAGAACACATGGAGTGCATTGCATCTGGTTAGCACATGCTTCGAGGCAGCTATCTATAGTTCAGAGAGCTGGGCAGGGCAGCAAATATCCCTTTCCAGCGCTGGAGCCACAGCTCTGCCCTTTGCAGCACAAAATATGGATGCGCTAAGCAGCTCATCGCTGAGACAGTGGAATAAGTACAAATAGTGAATCTGGAAGAGGAAAAGGAGGGCAGAGAAGCACACTGGTAATCCCTGGTGTATGGAAAAGGAATAGGGAACCCTAGAAGAGGAGAGAATATAACTTTATGCAGATTTTATGCTTGGATTTTGAAAGAGGAGGCGAACAAGGAGCAGAACTGCGAAAGGAGGCTGTCTAGAATACAGCAGGGGAAAAACAGTACAGGGAACTGGCAGACAGCAAAGGAGAAAGGCAAAGGTTCCCTGTGGTGCCAAGACCTGCTACTCTCCTGGCAAAGTATACAACCCAAAGCTTATTAGTTGTTCTGAGACCTCTTCCTATTCTGTCTTCTAATGATGTAGGCTCTTAAGACTACTTTGATGGGGAGGGGGGAAGTATTTTTCCAAAGCTGCTTCCATTAATGACAAAAAGCTTGTCTCCAAGTCCAGCAATCCAAGTGCCTGGTTGTGTGCCCTCATGTCAGCTAGCTCTCATTTCCCACACCCTCTTGTGCTAGATGACAGTGTCATCTGCTGAAAAGGATTACTGCAAAACGTGTCTTGCAGTGAGGGAGCTCATGTTTATTTGGGGAGAAAGCAGTCTGTAGTTGGTAAGCCTGCCTTCTTTGCAGGAGAAAAACTGGTTTTGTGGTGGCTGTGTCTGGGGATATAAAGAAAGTTCCTGGATGCCACTGGGGACTCCAAGTTTTCACCTTAGACCTTTGTTTCTCGTACTTCAGTGGGGAGGCAAGAAAGTCTAGAAGCTTTCTTAGGCTCAACCTGCTTGAAATCACAGTTTAAATAAGCTTAAGATTATTTTTAATGTTAAGATTTTAAACACAATGTTTAAATACAATTCAGAAGCAGCTGAAGATTTTGGATAATTCTGTTTCTTAGGAGTCCAAGTCAAGACCCTACAAAGGGAGCCAGTTTTTCAAAGAGATGCTCAGGCTTTTCAGGAAACCAGGTCCTTTGGAGCTGCCATCTCAGTTACACTGGGAGTGCATTTGGTCCTTCATTTGCAAGGGGATGTATGACCCTCAGGGTGAATGAAGTTGCAGCCACTTGTGCACAATACAAGTTTTATTGATGTCACAACTGCTGGTTTTCCCTGCAGAATGAACCGGATGTTCTTGTGGTTAGTTTTTTCTTCCCAAAACTCATAAACAGAGGTAGTCCTATGCATTCCCGTCTAATGAATAATTTCCCACTTATTAAACAAGCTAAAGAATGTTGTAGCTTTTTAGCAGTAAGAAACCTTGTGTCCTGTATGTGGAGGTGGTTGAATGACTTCCTGCCTTCGTCTGAAACGGGGGCAAAAGGCAGGTGACAGTACTTCTTTCAACCCCTATTGTTGATTGCACTGATGAGAAGGAGACACTGATGCCAGGGTCAGCGATTTCTTTAAAGTGGACTTTTTTAGCCCTGTGTCCTAACTCTTTGGCACGGAAAGGTGGAAGTTTAGCAGCTGTATCACTATGCATAGCATCAAGCTTCTCAGGCAGCGACTGAGACAAAAAGCCTTGTGTCTCATCTCACAAGGAGTGTTTCAGACCCCTCCATTAACCACTCACTGACCAGGAAGAAAGGATGCAGTTCCCTCCTGGTCTGTTTTGTTGAATTTGTGCATGGAAGGATCCACCAATCACCCAGATCTGATGTAAAGTAGATGGCAGGACATGTAGCATGGATGATGGAAGCTGAGGCGAGAGGACCTAGGTAACGTGGAAGGAGCAGTGGTAACGTGAGATTGCTTCAACTGCTTGAGGAATTGCAGCCTGACATCTCAGGACCTCACAGCCTTGCTGTTGTTTTCACTGCCTGTCCTAGAGCTTCCCTCTCTCCTCTGCATATAGCTTCTGCTCGTTTCTGTCCTGCTTACCTCTGCCAAGGAAAAATCTACATGTAGGTATCAACACAGGCTTTTGGATATGAGGAAGATCTGGTGATAACAGGAAAGATTCTGCATTCACACACACACCCCTTGCTTAATGCAGTGATCCTATTATTTTTTGCAAGATTTTGAAAGAACAGTGAAAGATTTTGGAGGCTTCTATTTGCATTGCCTGGATCTTTTCAAAGGAATTTGTAATTCTTGCAATTAGCATTGTCTTCTTTCAGAAAAGCGATCTGCTTGAGCAAAATCATGTTTCCTTTTCATAGTTTTGGGTTAAAAGGCTAAACAGTGTGTTTTGTGGAGTTTTACCACCTAGTGCCTTTTTGATTACAGGTGGCACTTAAGGATTAGGTGAGGATTAGTACAAGGCATGCAAATCTTAAAGCATGGACACACTGTTTAAATGAAGTTAATTGGCACGTCTGTCAGTTGCTGATTTGCAGCTTGAATGTAACCATTAGCCTTGACTCTTTAAGGAATGTAGAAGTTATGTAAGACTAGAATAATTCAGAGCTACGAGAAAGAATGATCTTTGAATGCTAAATTTATTTCAGTGCGATCACACATCTAGCCACTGTGGCCTGGAGTCTATGTTGACAAAGCACCGGTTGACAACCTCTCTGTACCTTTTTGCTCCTGTGTCGTCTGGCTTATTGCATGAGAGTGAACGTGTGTTTCTGCTTATCTTTACAGAAAGTTCTGACAGGAGCAGATGATCTGCAGCGAGTGAAGGCCCTAGAGATGCAAGTAGATACAAGAGAGAACAGCCTGGGGAACTTTGGTAAGAAAACGCTTTTATCTTCAGCTCACCATCTCGAATTTTCCTTTATCGTTTCTTGAAGCTGGGCTGGGGACTCAGAAACCAACAGCCAGTGTACTGAGCTGCTTGAGAGCTGTTGAAACATGATCTCCCTGGTACCTCTCAGTCCTTGATGGGTTTTTTTCTTCCGTGAAGCTCTAAGTAGCACTGAAAACTATGGCAGTGGGATGAGTGACGCCACTTCTGTCTAAAGCAAATTAGCTTGAACAAATTCCTGTTTAATTACATGTCTTTAGGCTCTAAATGAGCATTTACTGATTACCTTGCTCTCTAGGGGTCTTGGCGCTACTGTAGCGAAATAGAGTAGCCAAAGTTCAGTTTCTTCCCACTGTAAGATTCCCCTGTGGCTGAGCAATCACTAGTGATATCAGGCTGCTCATTCTGCCAGCAGCTTGTCGTAGTGTCCTGTACTGCCTCATTGAACTGTGCTGGATAATGTGCTTGAGGAACATCCTATAGATATGTCATTTTGATGGGCCTCAAACAGCTCTAATACCAGTGATTTGTTTCTGTGTCATCATCACTGCACTGGGGAAGTACTGAAGTACCAAAGGAATTCCCTCTGTAGCAGAGTTAACACTGAGAATATGAAACTTGCCTTTTTTTCCAGTACTGGCAGTCATTTCTGCCAGGAACATGTGGATTCCACTCACAATCAAGTTCATCCTCTGCAATGCTGAAGCAGAGTTACTACTGAAGAGTAATATTTTCTGTTCCAAAAGGAGTCAAGTCCCCAAAATGGGTGCTGGTATTTTAAGCCAAGCAGTTCAATTTCATGTGCAAGTGACTATAATTAACAGCTGATTAGCTTTAGTGGGTCTTTTGATGTCAGTTTGTCAAGAATGTTTAAGCAAGTACAGTGAAGGAGGCTTTCTTATCAGGAACAGCGTGGCCAGCAGGACTAGGAAGGAGGTTGTCCCCCTGTGCTAGGCACTGGTGAGGCTGCACCTCAAATTCTGGGGTCAGTTTTGGGCCCCTCACTACAGGAGAGACACTGAGGGACTGGAGCATGTGCGGAGAAGGGAACGGAGCTGGGGAAGGGGCTGGAGCACAATTCCTGTGAGGAGTGGCTGGGGGGTTCAGCCTGGAGAAAAGGAGGCTCAGGGAGACCTTATTGTTCCCTACAACTCCCTGAAAGGAGGGTGCAGAGAGGGGAAGGTCCGTCTCTTCTCCCAAGTGACAACTGATGGGACAAGAGGAAATGGCCCGAAGTTGTGCCAGGGGAGATTTAGATTGGATATTAGGGAAAATTTCTTCACCTAAAGGGATATCAGGCATTGGAACGGGCTACCCAGGGCGGTGGTGGAGTCACTATCCCTGGAGGGATTTAAAAGATGTGCAGACATGGTGTTCAGGGACATGGTTTAGTGTTGGACTGGGCAGTGCTGGGTTGGTGGTTGGACTCGATGATCTTAAAGGTCTTTTCCATCCTAAATGATTTTATGATTATATAGCTGCTTTGGTTATTCTGTGTATTTTGTAAGTAGGTATCTTTCTCATAGGCATTTGATAATTTAAGGTAAATTACATTTGGTTCTTTCAGAGATTATAATCTATTCAGTCATGTTTCCTCCAGTTGATAAGAAAATCTCATTATGACTTTTTTACAATGCTTGAAATCAGTGCTCCCGTTCCTATGCCATTTTACATTAGCTGTGACAGGCTAGCAAAATGTTTCAGCTTTTTCACTCTGTACTTCCCTTTCCATTACTGGAATAAATCCCTTTCTGCTCCCTGTGGTTAGGCTTTTGCAACTTTTACAAAATACAGAGCTCTATTCCCATGTTGCAGACAATTTCCATCTTGTTTATGTCCCACCATTTGCACCAAGGGTTGACTCTTGAGGGCCATAAAAACCAGCAGCTGCAGGTCCCCACCGCTTTGGAGAATAACGTCAAGACCATCCTAAATTTCCCTCCATCTTTTTTTTTTTTTTTCCCTTAAAAGTGCATTTCTGAATTTCCCCCATGTGAAAATCTCTGCAAATGTCAGCAGGTGGCTAGGGCAGAAAGTTTGCCACTTAATGCTTCCAGTGATCATCAGTTCCTTGCTGGTTTTTTTTTCACCTGACAGCGGATTTTTAGGCACATGGAGTAAGGCCTAAATTTTTAGGGTGTCGCAGGGCAGTTTGCACTGTCAATGTGAATGGTTAAGCAAAGCTGCTGTTGAAGGTGTCGGGCTCATTGCATGCTCCTTACTGCCTGCCTGCCCCTGAAACTGTGCTGCTGACCTGGTCTGTGGTCACAGGGGTCTGGATAAATAGCCTGAGGAAAGAAGTAGGATAAGAACCAGACCAGCTGGAATGACAGAGGTTCCAGTGTGACAGAAGGAAAACCTTTTCCACCGTTAGGACAGTTGAGCGATAGGAGTACCCAGAGAGGTTTGGAGTCTCCATGCTTGGAGGTTTTCAAGACCCGTCTGGGTGAAGCCCTGAGCACCCTGTTCTGATCTCACAGAAGACCTGGCTCTGAGAAGAAGATTGGGCCCGAGACTTCTGGCTGTCCCCTCTGCAATTTTGGGTTTGTTTGCATTTCAAACCTGGCTAATTAGCTGGCTTTATAGCTGTATTAAGTCACTTCACTTTGTTCTCACTTTGTTCCTCAGTTGCAGGAGGTGGGTAAGAGCATCTTTATCATCAAGGAATTATTTGTTTGGATGATCAGTTTGCATTCAGTAAACAATATTGTTTTAACTGGTTTAATGTGCAAAGGCTGTGCAAGCTCTTAAATGTCCAGGTAAAAGAGTTGCAGGTTACTAGACTGCACATAACTCCGGGTCACCTGTAATCTGGTAGCACCTGAAACCCAGATTTACACCACAATTTCCACTTGAGAAACATTTCAATGTTCACAGCCATACACAGATTGTAACATAAGCACCGAGGGCCTACACCTCCTTTAGCAAGATTTCCAGAGTGATTTAAAACACATTGCTTGGGTTTTTCTTCTGGGCATTCCACTTTGGGATGTGCTAAACTGTTAAGCATTATCCTGCTAACCTTTCCCAGTTTGTCAGGTCAGCCTCTACACAATGGCATGGCACGGTGGGGAGGAACAGTTATGTTTCATAGGGACAGGGTGTGGGCTAAAACATTAAAAGATCGATATTAAAAAATTTCATGTGATCAGTTTTAAAATTAAGGAAAGGCTTTGTGCCAGAGCTTGAATCTGAGTCTTAGTGGGGCTCGGAGTAATTGCTGAAATCTCTAGCTGTTTTCTGTGCACCTTGCTGCGTGACAGGTGAAACACTGAACCTCCCTGGCAAGTCTTGTATCCAGATTTGCAGATCTCGGGCTTGACTTCTGTCTTCTTCAGCTGCGTGTAGGCTTCAGGTCATTCTCAAACAGATGGACTATTTCCTTTTCATTAGCTTTCCCTTCGGTTTTGATTGCTGACAGAGACCATATTCACGACCGGCTCATAGAAATCCCTGTTGAAAGTGGGATAGAGTCATTTAAGACACATAGTTCTTCTCTTTCTAAGTGATTTTAATAGCTACAAATCAAGTTACCCACAGTGCTGTTCTCTGGTACTTACTGAGTTGTTGCCTGCTGGTGGCCAGGCTAAGTCGATTATGAGTCTGGAGATGGCCACTTCCCTTGCATGCATTTTATTTGTCCTGTGGTCATCTGCATTTTTCTGGACCATTCTTTATTTTAAAAATCAAAATTATACAGTATGAAGGTGGTTTCAGGATGAGGAATGTATTATTTGTACTTTAAAGTTAATAGTACTTGTATTTTAGAGTATTTTTGTCTTGGTATAAGAATAAATGGTGTTCTTGTTTTCAGGAGAGATACCGTGAGGGTTAAAACTAAACAATTAGAAGTATGTTTTTGCCCTGGGATAGATCTTTGTTGTGTTCATTTTACAATTTTCTCTTCTTGGCTTAATCTTCCGGTCTCTACATATAAATAACTGGGACTATAAAAACCAAATCAAATGGACAATGAATTATTAGCACAAAGAACCTATTGAATATAAAACTTAAAGGAGGAAAGAACTTGCAGAATTGAAGAAATATATTGCAGAAGTCCCGTTGGCAGAACTTTGCACCACTGCACATAGTATAATTTTTTTTCAGTCTAGTAAACATCACATTAGAGCTTAACACTCTACAAGTTCCTAGGGATAGATCGTGCCAAAATACAATAAAATGTCTGAGATGAAGGATCGGGTTACAGTAATGAAATAACCAGATGTGAAAATGGTATTGTCAGCCTGTCACTCTGCTGCTTTGAATCCTTTAGCAGTTGTTGTCTTTGTCCTGAACCAACCTTAAATGCATTCAGTGGAAAGCTTTTTCTTGAGCTAGTCGTCTTGAGTCCTCATTCAAATCTTCTGTTTAATACTGATTTGTAAAACCAGTTGCTTTGTAATGCTTTGCTACAGCCTTTGCTTGGTAACCCTTTAACCCCTCTGGTTGAATCCGTGGCAAGGCTATCACCTGCTGCTGTGCTGCCACTGGAGAGGCTCCTGCATCCTTCTTGTTCTTTGCCTTAACATTTTGGGAGAAGTAATTTCATCTCTCTGTGCTTCAGATTTATTATCAGATACATATTAGCAATATTTTTATGGGGCATTTCTTAGTGCCTGGTTTATATCTGAGCAAGTCTTTGCTCAGCAGCTAGTGTGATGGCTGTGAATAATTAAGAGAGATCCTAGTACCTCCTTTGTCAGGTCTTAGAATTATTTTGTTGCCATACTTTATAAAACTTGACATGAGAAAGTATGCCCTGCAGCATGAGGATGGTGTGTTAGAATTTCTGCTACAGTTTTTATGGAAAATTATTAAAGATAAGGCTAATAAATTGCACAATGTGTTTTGAATTTATAATACTTTCTAAGGAGCTTTGCAAAGACATGAAGTGAAATATTTTCTGTATAGCATGACGGTTAATATGTGGATTATAATCACTCACAAATAGCATTACCTATGCTTCTACTAAAATGTTTTTGCCATAAATTCTCTTGTTCCGTTTGGGGGAATGGGATGAACATCATGACCTCCTTTATTTGCTGTTGAGATCCCATTCCCTTTTTCTTTTTTATTTCTTGTTTGTTTGCTTTTCATTTTCATCCTTTGCAAAGGGTTGGAATGATGTCCTTCTGGACACTGCTAAATCACCCTTGCCAGAGTGAGATTACTCAAAGGACTCGCAAAATATTTGCTGAGAACAGATCTTAATGTCTTAGCAATGATCCAGTTTGTCTAAAATTGGTATTACCTCTACATGCATGTTGTACTGGAGAATGCTCGCCAGCCGTGCGTAAACTCCATTAGGGGGAATGGATAAAAGTTGGCTCTTCTCAGTAGCAAAAGTTTCCTGGGACTTGAGCTTATATCTAAATTATTCTGTAGCTTGGAGGGATTTGGTCTATGATTTTGATTGAGATACCTGTAGAAGCAACCAAAAAGGCAAATGTCTCTTGGGAATGGAAAAAAGGATTAATCAAAGTAATAACAACAAAATGCTGAGTTTTCATAGATATGAAACTTGTACAATTGAATAGTAAACAATGGTTCACATCCAGAAAATGAAACTGAGAAGGCAATGCTTAGCAAAACATAAGTAGTGTTTTGGGGACCTCTGAACTGTAAAAGATGATGTGGTGACATGGGACATTACGCTTTTGTTGTTTGACTCAAAATTACATTATGAAGAAGTGTTGCTTAACTGAGTATCCAATAAATCCATCACTACTTGCCATTAAATATGTAGAAAAAGATTTCTGGGGAGAGAAGCAAAAGCATTATGTAGAAATTGGAGGTCATGGAATGCTATACTCTTAAGTCATCGTTTACCTCTTCAGTTTATCATCAATAAGGGTTGGAAATCAGACCAAAGAAAGCAGTAACCCAACAAGCCAGTTTCTGCTGTTGTCTGTCTGGAAAGAGCTCATTCAGAATTGTCAGAGAGGGGTTCCAAAAATTATAATTGGGTAGTTGTGCAGACAATACGTATATGCTGCAAAAATGCAAAGGGCGAGATATTTTTTGAGTGAAATAACCTCATGAATTCTCGTAGGAGAGGTCCAGCACAGATCTGGCAGAAACAGGTAAGAAATGCATGTAAAATTAGATGCTTCTACTTGTGATTGGCAGAAGTTTTCCATATTCTACTCCCAGGTTTGCCAAGTGATTCTTTATTCTGTTCCCATAGGTGCCTATCTACCTAATCTGAGGGAACTGAAGTTGAACAATAGCTTGCTTGTGTCTGTGAGGTAAGAAATGAATGATAACTGAAACAAACGTAAGGAATAATAGACCTTAATTTTGTTTAAGTGATAAAATCATTTGTGCTGATTTCATTTCTTCCATTTCCCTGTGCCGTGATAATGGATTAGGTCATGAATGTATGCTCCACAACCACAGACGTTTAAGGACAGGATCTGAGCTGCAATAAATCAGTGTAGTTACAGTGATGCCCGTGATCTATCCCCAGTCTTCCAGGGAAGTTCCTTCCATGCTGAAGTCCATGGAAATTTGCTGCAAATTTGGAAGGAGCTAGAAATTTGCCTGTTATCTAGGTCTAGGCACTTGGGTTTTGGAGTATTTCAGCCTTTGGGCTTCTGTTGTGCACTGCAGCCTGTTCTATACGGGTCAGACAAGTTCCTCAGCTGATGAAAATCAGCTTTATTGAAGTTGGTGCAGTTGGGTTTATGAGAGCTGCTATGAAGACTGCATGTCCCTGGCTGGCCCAGCTCCATGAGAGAGAACTGCGGAGTTGGCACGTTGGGAAGGTAGAAGCAAAAACCATCACAATAAGGAGGCAGAGCTGTCTGCTCATTCCTGTGCCGATATCTGTTTTAGCCTTGCTAATTACTGCATAGTGTAAAAGTAGAGTTCATATCAGCAAAAGGCTGTGTAAAGGGACATCTTTATGATGAACAGGACTGCTCTCTGACTTTGTATGGCTATCTGCTAAATTGGGGGGGGGGAGGCGGGAAATGGTGATTTTGCTAATTCTTGTTAAAGAGAACGTGTTCCCTGATGAGAAACAGCGATAAATTCTTCTTGGTCTCATGCATCATCACTGAAGTAGATAACAAACTTCGATTGTCACACTCTGATCTTATTTTTCCCTGTACTGGTGATGAGATGAATTATTTGCAGTCTAAATTCTTCCACCTTCTAGTCAGCAACATGGAAAAGTGGTGGTTTGACATTGCTGCTGTTATTTTAATGGCAACCAACCACTGTCATAAGCATGAAATTGCTCCATTATTTTAATGGAGGTGTAAGTAGTGTATGAAAAAATTGTATTTTTTAAAACATCAAAAGATATTATATTAAACAGAAAAAAAATTAAAGTTTCTGGTTTGGGTTTTTTTTTGTTTTGTCAAAAATCCATATTCTCTTAAAGTGTATCAATGGAAAACATTTTGACCAGTCTTGTTGGTACTGAGTACAGGATGCAGTTCAGCAAAACTGAGCTGTTTAGTTTATTTGACTTCTGGCTTTTAGTAGGATTTTGCACATCCCTTTGTATTCTGAGACTCTAATTTCTGTCATGAAAAGTTTTGGCAAACCGTCTTCTGTGACCTGATAACACTGTGGTCCTTGATGAGGGTAACATTTGGTCTCAAGGTGAATTTTGATTTGATCAGTTATAACGTGAATATGTTTTAGCTTGGATAGCAAGTCTAATATTGTGATGCTTCCCAGACACACAAACACCAGGAGAAGCTACCCACTCCTCCTTTAAATGAGCGTGCTTTCTGTGTTCCATTTAAATGCAACTGTTGTAGAATAGGTAAAAGAAGATGACGACTGTTATCTCTCAGACCAGAACTCGGTCAGTACAGTACAGCAGTTACTTTCTTTTATTAATTCCCATCTTTAACAATCTGTCATTGATAAACACAGATGACTTAAGGGCACAGCCTGTGCAAGCACAGCCTGGGTACTTGAACTTTGTTTTTGGATGTCTGCATCGTGTCAATTTACTGCCCATTAAAGCAGCACTGCTGTCACGGCACTAGCTGTGTCTGCTCTAGCGAATGTAACATAGCTGCTTCCATTCTAGCAGGCTGCTGCTATTCACTCAAAAAGGTTTTAGAACTCTTATTTCTGAATTAAACATCTTGATGTTTGAATTCTGTCCAAAAAGTGATTATTTTCTTGTGTTCGACCAAACCCTTGCAACTGAGGTTTTTGAGGATGATAGAAAAAACCGTTCTTCCTGCTCACTCAAAGTCATTCCCGCAGACTTTGTCAGCTGTAAGGTCAGAATCATTGTGGCTATGATTTGCAAATGGGCAGCAGATAACAGGAAATGTCTCGTAAGGACAGACTGAAGGATTGGTTTGTTTACTGAGAAGAAGGTAAGGACAGAAAAGCAGGCAAAAGGAAGAAAGTGCTTCCTATATACTTGGGATGTTAAAAGCAGACATGTTTTTCATGCTATATATTATGGGAAAACACGTATTAGGGTGAATCATGAACAGGAGACTGTCAGTGTGTGTGCATGAGTGCGTAGTAAGATGGGAAACTTGCTGTTTGTCACCTTAGTTTTGTTTCATTCTGTCTGCAGAAAAGAATTGCCTTATTATTTTAGTATGAAGAGGGATTAAAACAACTTTTTTACAGTTCAAAAGGGGAGAAGAATTCTCTTGATAGTAAACTGCATATAGGGAGATGCCAAAATAAGGATTTCTGATCCTTACTTCAGTTAGTGATTCTTTTTTGAAAACGTTTACTCCTGTCAACCTCACAGAGGAACTTAAGTTGTGAGGATGCCGAGGTGTGCGTCGCCGTTCACCGTTCAATAGAAATCAAAGGAGGGATGTTCTGGCAGTGAGGAATCAAGGTACTTGCGTGTTACAGTTTTCTATGGGAGAGCAAGGCTTGCTGGGTTGGTGAGTTTGAATATTTTCCTGGTAGTTCCTGAATGAGTTCCGATTCCTTTGATGGGGAATGTGGGTGAGCTACTTCAATTGTAAACTCTTGGTCCCTCCCAGCCCTCCTACAGCTTGCATTACTTTTGAATACTTGAAACTTTGAAAGGCTGTATATAAGCATAGGGTATCATTATCACCTATATAATTTAACCCATAAGGAAAATATATCCAAGTTTATTTGCAGATAATCCATCTTGGTGGTTGAAAGGGAATTTCTTTGCTGGCTGTTCTTGGGTTGTAGTTTTCTCCTGGCCCTTTGCTAAAGGGGAACGGCTCTGGAAAATCCAGTGTACTGTGGAAAGAAATTAGTTCAGATTTTGTTAATTTTCTAAATCACACTGATTTTGAGGTCTTGCCTGGTGACCTTCACCCGTGTGCCAGCAGCTAAGAGATTCTAGATTTATGAACTGATAACTGGGAATGAAAGGTAGAGCCTATTCTGAAGAGTGCTTGGTAAGAAATTACTTTTTTTTTTTGGTTTTGTTGTTGTGATGACACATGGTCCTCATCTTTGTACTGTTTCCAGTAAAATAACTATATTTCAAGGCCAGTGAAGGCCGCTATTCTGCTTTGGCACGTAGCCTACGTTTTGGGGTTTTTTATCAGATTGCTTTTATTCTCAATTCAGGGATGAACTAAGAGATCTGTTTTAAAATATTAGATAGATATCTTTATGAAAGGGCTTTAAATCTGATAGGGGAATTTCAGGCACTGGTTCCCATACATTTGTAACAGAAGCTGTTTCACCAGCTGAAGTTCATTTCCTCCCATTCAGCTCTACACATCATAGCCAGCAGAACACTGGTCTGCTCTCAGGGCTACTCAAGCAACTGCTTGCAAGAGAGATACTGTAGGTGAGATGAAATGCAGAGACTGCAAAATGTGGAGATAAAAGTATGAGGGATATAGGGAAAGGAAAGAAGATTTCCTTCATCTGGATAGTTCACATTGCTGCAGACTGTGTTGTATGCAGTTCTCAAACTGCTCTTGCCCTGTTGGAGAAATGTCCCCTGGAACAAGAGGACAGTAATCCTCGTCCACCTGGGTCAGTAAAGTCATCATGGAGGAGTGGAAATGAGACAGCTGTCCTGAAGGTTTAAATGAGCAAGGTGCAGAATACATTAAAATACAACAATTCTCACCCTTTCATGTGTCTTAGGATAATTTTGGTTTGGGATTTTTTTTTTTCCACACCAGCTCCTGGGGACAAGACTAGCTACACAGGAATCTCTGAATTCACTTTCTGAAGTTTCAAGCCCTCTTGACTTTGAAAATAATAACTGAAAATGTGAGTTAAGAGATTTGAGTAAGGATAAGTGAGTGTAGGGTCCTGCACCTGGGGAGGAATAACCCCCTGCACCAGTGCAGGTCGGGAGTTGACCTGCTGGAAAGCAGCTCTGCAGAGAGGGACCTGGGTGGAAAGCAGCTCTGCAGAGAGGGACCTGGGGGACAATCAGTGGGTCATGAGCCAGCCATGTGCCCTGTGCCCAAGAAGGCCAGTGGTATCCTGGGATGCATTAAAAAGCATGGCCAGCAGGTTGAGGGAGGTTATCCTCCCCCTCTACTCTGCCCCAGTGAGGCCACATCTGGAATGCTGTCTCCAGCTGTGGGCTCCCCAGGTCAAGAAAGATGGGAACTACCAGAGAGAGTCCAGCAGAGAGTACAAAGATGATCAAGGGTGTCTCTCTTACGGGGAAAAGCTGAGAGAGCTGGGGCTGTTCAGCCTGGAGAAGACTGAGGGGAGATCTCTTACCAATGCTTGTACATATCTGAAGGACAAGTGTCAAGAGGATGAGCCAGACTCTTTCCAGTGGTGCGCAGTGACAAGACGAGGGGCAACGGGCACAAACCTGAATGCAGGAAATTCCGTCTCCACATGAGGTAAAATATCTTCACTTTGAGGGTACCAGAGCACTGGAACAGGCTGCCCAGAGAGGTTGTGGAGTCTCCTGCTCTGGAGATACTCCAAACCCCCCTGGATGTGTTCCTGTCCAACCGGCTCTAGGTGAACCTGCTCTGGCAGCAGGGTTGGACTAGATGATCTCCAAAGGTCCCTTCCAATCCTCACTGTTCTCTGACTTTTTTTTTTTCTGCTAATTGCATGATTTTAAGAACCAGAGAAAACAAATTCTTTGTTAATTTAGGCCAAGGTCTTTAAACCCATATTTTACAATATTTTTGAGACCTGAATCAGGATCTTTAGGAATTTGAACATTGCAGTATTACTCCTTGGTACTTATCCAACAAAGAGTTGAGGCAAATGCTCACCTCTTAAAGTCACAAGAAGTTTGACTTCAGTGGAACTGCTTGCAAGCTGAAAT